CACAGGTACTGACACACAGCACAGGTACTGACACACAGCACAGGTACAGACACACAGCACAGGTACTGACACACAGCACAGGTACAGACACACAGCACAGGTACAGACACACAGCACAGGTACAGTCACACAGCACAGGTACTGACACACAGGCACACAGCACAGGTACAGCCACACAGCACAGGTACTGACACACAGCACAGGTACAGTCACACAGCACAGGTACTGACACACAGGCACACAGCACAGGTACTGACACACAGCACAGGTACAGACACACAGCACAGGTACTGACACACAGCACAGGTACAGACACAGCACATGTACTGACACACAGGCACACAGCACAGGTACAGACACACAGCACAGGTACTGACACACAGCACAGGTACAGTCACACAGCACAGGTACTGACACACAGGCACACAGCACAGGTACAGACACACAGCACAGGTACTGACACACAGCACAGGTACTGACACACAGTCACACAGCACAGGTACAGTCACACAGCACAGGTACTGACACACAGGCACACAGCACAGGTACTGACACACAGCACAGGTACTGACACACAGGCACACAGCACAGGTACAGACACACAGCACAGGTACTGACACACAGCACAGGTACTGACACACAGCACAGGTACTGACACACAGGCACACAGCACAGGTACTGACACACAGCACAGGTACTGACACACAGGCACACAGCACAGGTACTGACACACAGCACAGGTACTGACACACAGGCACACAGCACAGGTACAGACACACAGCACAGGTACTGACACACAGCACAGGTACTGACACACAGGCACACAGCACAGGTACTGACACACAGCACAGGTACTGACACACAGGCACACAGCACAGGTACAGACACACAGCACAGGTACTGACACACAGCACAGGTACTGACACACAGCACAGGTACTGACACACAGGCACACAGCACAGGTACAGTCACACAGCACAGGTACTGACACACAGGCACACAGCACAGGTACAGCCACACAGCACAGGTACTGACACACAGCACAGGTACAGTCACACAGCACAGGTACTGACACACAGGCACACAGCACAGGTACAGACACACAGCACAGGTACTGACACACAGCACAGGTACAGACACACAGCACAGGTACTGACACAGCACAGGTACTGACACACAGACACACAGCACAGGTACAGACACACAGCACAGGTACTGACACACAGCACAGGTACAGACACACAGCACAGGTACTGACACAGCACATGTACTGACACACAGGCACACAGCACAGGTACAGACACACAGCACAGGTACTGACACACAGCACAGGTACTGACACACAGGCACACAGCACAGGTACAGACACACAGCACAGGTACTGACACACAGCACAGGTACAGACACACAGACACACAGCACAGGTACTGACACACAGCACAGGTACTGACACACAGCACAGGTACTGACACACAGCACAGGTACAGACACAGCACAGGTACTGACACAGCACAGGTACTGACACACAGGCACACAGCACAGGTACAGACACACAGCACAGGTACTGACACACAGCACAGGTACTGACACAGCACAGGTACAAACACAGCACCGGTACTGACACAGCACAGGTACTGACACACAGGCACACAGCACAGGTACTGACACACAGCACAGGTACTGACACACAGCACAGGTACTGACACAGCACAGGTACTGACACACAGGCACAGGTACAGACACAGCACAGGTACAGACACAGCACAGGTACTGACACACAGGCACACAGCACAGGTACTGACACAGCACATGTACTGACACACAGGCACACAGCACAGGTACTGACACAGCACAGGTACTGACACACAGGCACACAGCACAGGTACAGACACACAGCACAGGTACTGACACACAGCACAGGTACAGACACACAGCACAGGTACTGACACACAGACACACAGCACAGGTACAGACACACAGCACAGGTACTGACACACAGGCACACAGCACAGGTACAGACACAGCACAGGTACTGACACACAGGCACACAGCACAGGTACAGACACAGCACAGGTACAGACACAGCACAGGTACTGACACACAGGCACACAGCACAGGTACTGACACAGCACATGTACTGACACACAGGCACACAGCACAGGTACTGACACAGCACAGGTACTGACACACAGGCACACAGCACAGGTACAGACACAGCACAGGTACAGACACAGCACAGGTACTGACACAGCACAGGTACTGACACACAGGCACACATCACAGGTACTGACACAGCACAGGTACTGACACACAGGCACACAGCACAGGTACTGACACAGCACATGTACTGACACACAGGCACACAGCACAGGTACTGACACAGCACAGGTACTGACACACAGGCACACAGCACAGGTACAGACACACAGCACAGGTACTGACACACAGCACAGGTACAGACACACAGCACAGGTACTGACACAGCACAGGTACTGACACACAAGCACACAGCACAGGTACAGACACAGCAGCGGAGGAATGGAAGACAAAGGCCCAGTACTAATATCCCAGTCACAACTGATAATGCCAAAAATTAAATAAATGCAGTGAATGAGGCTGGACTGGCACAGAATGGAGCTCCTCCTCCTCTTCCTCCTCTTCCTCCTCCTCCTCTTCCTCCTCCTCTTCCTCCTCCTCCTCCTCCGGAGAATCAGGTGGTTTAATGTGTGAGGGTAAATATCCTCATAAAGTGCCTTCTTATGTTGCACTTTGTGTTGTTTTTCATTAATTATGTTAAAAAGACATAATTGGATGGATGGAATATGCTTTCCATCCATCCATCCATTTTCTTCCCCTTAATCCATTTCTGGGTCAGGGGGGTGGCAGACAGAGCTGCACCCAGTTCACAGAGCACCAGCCCCTCACTGATCCTCCTGCAGGTGACGAGTCCACATGAGCCGTGTTTATTAAAAAGACAACACTTTTTTTTTGAAAAAAGAACCGATCCGTGGCCTCTGAACAGAGGTACGATCCGAACCCTGATTTTTTAAAACCGTTGCACCCCTGGTACTAATATTTAGTTTTTTTTCTAAATAATTGCTAAGTCTGGAATACAAAACTCTTTCAAATACTTTTGAGATAGTTGGCAGTATAGATATTGGTCTATAGTTCTGGGTATCACTTTTATCCCCAGACTTCTATATGGGTATTATTTTTGCAATTTTAGACGTATTTGTGACTACACCTTTTACTAGGGAAAGATTAATAATGTAGGCAAGGGGCTCGGCGATCTCAGTTGCTAAAGCTTTAATAATTTTGCTACATATACCGTCAGCACCAGCTGTGTTGGATAATTTTAGTTTGTTTATGATGGTTAACACTTCCTCTCCGCAGGTGGGTTTGAGAAATAAAGAATTTGGATAATTTCCAGGTAAGTAATGTTTGTATTTGGCGCCCCCTGGTGGGTTGATGTAGTCAGATCGTTGTTTTCCAACTGCGATAAAGTAATCATTAAAGACATTTGGTAATGACTTTGTATTTTGTAGGTTTTGCACAGTGTCGGGGATGACTGATGTTTTATTATCACGACCAAGGATCTCATTTAGCACCTTCCAGGATTTCCTTTGATCACCAAGAGCATGATTACATTTCCCAGTGAAGTAGATCCGCCTAATTGCTCTCTTTACTTTTGTTAAAATATTGTTATATTTTGTATACATTAGTTTATTTTGTGTGCTCCTATTTTTTGCATATGATCATACAATTTATTTTTCTTCTTTATCGACTTCCCCTTTGTTATCCAAGGCTTAGGTTGTATACTATTCTGTTTAATGTTTTTTTCAGGGATAGTTACGTTGATGGAATTAGTAACTTCAGATATGAACAAAGTATAAGCGTTGTCAGGATGTTAAACACTGAATCCCAGTTTTTCGTTTAGAGATGTTGCATCAAAGCGGCAAGGGTTTGATCGTTTAGGACTTTTACTTTCCTCCTTGTGCATGGACATGGTGCACCTTTATTCAGTTTCATATAAAGAGTAACAGGATAGTGATCTGTGACATCAGAGCATATAACTCCTGCTTTACTTTCAACGTTTTGTATATTTGTTATTATATTGTCTAAAATTGACTCGCCGAGTTCTGTGACTCGAGTATGTTTATTGATTTGGGGAAAAAATGATGTGTAAATGATTGTATTTAGAAATTCAGTTCCGTGTCTTCCTTCTTCAGATGTATCAACGTTAAAGTGCCCCATTATTAAACAGTTTTTGTTCCTTTGGCTGATAGCACTAAGGACATTTTCAAATTGGTCTCTGAACGTGTTATAATTTGAGTCTGGTGGGCGATAGATTACACCAACAATGATCCTTTTGGCATATTTGGGTGTAATTTCTAAGAAGAGTGAATCTGAAAAACCATCATGCAGGTTTAGATACGTGAGTTCATTTACAGAGTATTGGGAGCTTACATAAAAGCAAACCCCTCCACCGCTGTTTCCGGTTCTATTTTTGTAGAACATAATATATCTGTCCAAGGTGAAAATGTTTACATATGTGAGTTCATTTATCCAAGTGTATCACATCAAATGTGTGACCTGTACTTGCAAGCAGTGAGACGAGGTCATCATGATGTTTTCTAATATTCTAATGTTAAGTGTGTATTGGGGCTCGTGCGATGCATGTCAATCATACCCATAGTGATCTGAGGTCATGGTGACACCATGTGTGTACCATAGTCATTTTGTCTCCACTGATCTCTGCGAACAATACACAACACACGCACACACACCCACAGATATACACACTCACACGCACACGCACATACACATACACATAGGCACAGACCCTAGACTCTAGACCTGAGGACCAGTCCCAGTCTGACCCTGGACTCTAGACCTGAGGACCAGTCCCAGTCTGATTATTTACAAAGTGCCACAGAACCACAGTCTTTGATGAAGGACGAGACACAGAACTGTCTTAACAACATGGATTCAAGTCTCACCTCTGATCTTCAGGACCATCTTCTCTGAACTCAGGAGGAGGGGAGTTGGACCGGTCACTTCTCATAGACACAGAGCTGGGAGCAGGTCCAGGTGTGGGTCCAGGTCCGGGTGTGGGTGTGGGTCTGGGTCCAGGTGTGGGTCCAGGTCCGGGTGTGGGGTTGGACTCAGAGCCAGATCCTCGTGGGTCCATGTTGTAGAGGCTGAATCAGAACAGAACAGAGAGAGTAGGACTGGGCCATGTGGCTGAAAATGTATCGAGTCATAAATGTTTCATTTCAGTCGATATCGATAAATATTGATTCATTTTAAACCTGTTCTAAATAAAGACCAGGAGAATAAAGTCTGAAGTGAAAAATTAGTATTTGAAACATAAGCTTTAGCCTTTAAAAGGAGGAGAACATGATGAAAAACAGATAAATAAACGAGTGAGATGTAAATGTAGTAAGTCTTCAGTAAAGAAGGAATCGGTGGAGAGCAGCTCAGGCTGAAGACCTGTAACAACACAGAACCAGCAGCTGTTTATCCTGCTGTGCTCCAGCAGGGGCTTCATGCTCGGCTGTGATTGGTCGAGAAGCCTCCGACTACTTTCCCCAGAATGCCGTGCGGTTCTGACTCCGCTTTTCTTCCCCTTTTTTCTAACGGAAATGATCGAACATTCTATCAACACATTTATTCTAAACATGTCCTAAATGTCCCTGAAGCTCTTGTCTCTGTGCTCCTGTCTCTGTGCTCCTGTTCCTGTACTTCAGTCAAAGTTTCTGTGCTCCTGTCCCTGTGCTCCTGTCCCTGTGCTCCTGTCCCTGTGCTTCTGTCCCTGTGCTTCTGTCCCTGTGCTCCTGTCCCTGTGCTCCTGTCCCTGTGCTCCTGTCTCTGTGCTCCTGTCCATGTGCTCCTGTCCCTGTGCTTCAGTCAAAGTTTCTGTGCTCCTGTCCCTGTGCTTCAGTCACTGTTGTGTGATTTTAATGTGGAGCGACAGAAACACAAGAATAAAGGACTTTTCATGAGAAATACTCACTGCGTCAGCGTCGTCTCTCCACTGTCTGCTTTACTTTCACTTTCAACATGAGTCACGTAGCTGTGTGACGTCATGCCGTGGCTGTCCAGCAGAGGGCGCCACAGCTGCTCTGAATGAGGCCATGGGGCCCTGTCACAAGGACCAATCAGAGATCATGCTGCCTCCACGTGCTCTGGGGAAGAGGGTTCCACTTGTAGGTGATCAAAGTAATAGAGCCCTACTGGGACTCAGAGGAGCACAGGGACTGGCCTCCTGCTGGGACTCTGAGGAGCACAGGGACTGGCCTCCTGCTGGGACTCAGAGGAGCACAGGGACTGGCCTCCTGCTGGGACTCTGAGGAGCACAGGGACTGGCCTCCTGCTGGGACTCTGAGGAGCACAGGGACTGGCCTCCTGCTGATTATTGCATCAGCCCCTCCTGAAAAAAGTCTGAAGGCACAGACTGGTTGTCTCGCTTCTGTCAGTTTGCCCCAGGGCAGCTGCAGCTGTCGTGGTATTTCTCTTCTGTCTTTGTTCCTACTGAGTCTCTTTCTGACTCGTTGGGCAGTGTGACAGTGTCTCTTTGTCAATTTGTGTCGATGTATCACAGTGTCATTGGAACAGCTGCAGTAAAACACACATACACACACACACATACACACAAATATACACACACACAGATATACACACACACACACGCACACACACACATACACAAATACACACAGACACACACGCACACACACACGCACATACATACATACACACACATACACATACACACGCACAGACACACACACATACACACACATACACACACACATACATACACATACACATACATACACATACACATACACATACACACATACACACACACACGTACACACACATTGCTTCATTCAAGGAGTGAACATTAATGAGACAGAGACCTGCACGAGACAAAGATCAGCACGAGACAGTGACCTGCCGTGGCTCCTGCTCTGGCTCCTGCTCTGGCTCCTGCTCTGGCTCCTGGTTCTGGCTCCTGGTTCTGGCTCCTGCTCTGGCTCCTGCTCTGGCTCCGCCTGCACCCCATTCACACCATACTCTAGCCACCACCAGTGCTTGACCCCGGGGGGTCTGAGATCATCTTCAGCTACAATCAATCTCATCGCTGCAAGTGTCACTGCCGGGGTCAATGCGCCAATCAAATAAATCTTTTGTATGCATTAATGTTTCTGTCTGGTCTCTTCAGATTGAATCATAAAAAAACATCTGAACAGAAAGTTGTCAAAGCAACATCCTCTCTTCTTATTAAACATGTTAGATCTCTGTCTTTGGGCGTAGAGCTGATTGGTTGAGAGCTGATTGGCTGAGAGCTGATTGGCTGAGAACTGATTGGTTGAGAGCTGATTGGCTTAGAGCTGATTGGCTGAGAGCTGATTGGCTGAGAGCTGATTGGCTTAGAGCTGATTGGCTGAGAGCTGATTGGCTTAGAGCTGATCTGCGCTGAGGGGGTGGTCCTTGTCTCCTCTTTTCACTTTTCTGTCAGAAAAAGCAAAAAAGACTATTGACAGAAGCAGCTGTTTCAGAGCCAGAAACTACAGAGAGAGTTCCATTGTTGTGGGCTGAAAGTTACACACCCCAGCTTTAAACTCCTCTGTGTGTGAAGAAATCCAAACCAGGACTGGGACAGAACCAGGACTGGACACGGACTGAACCAGGACCGGACCAGGAGCAGCTGAGTCTAAAGCAGGAGCAGGTGGACAGAACCAGGACTGGCCCAGGACTGTACCAGGACCGGACTAGGACCAGACCAGGAGCAGACCAGGAGCAGCTGAGTCTAAAGCAGGAGCAGGTGGACCACAGCTGGAGCGTGTGGAGCAGCTTCTGTTTTAGATTTAACTTAGAGTCTGAGCTTTGAAGCCGCGGCCAACAGTGTGTGTGTGTGTGTGTGTGAGCCTGTGTGTGTGTGTGTGAGCCTGTGTGTGTGTGTGTGTGTGTGTGAGCCTGTGTGTGTGTGTGTGTGAGAGCCTGTAAGCGTGCACTTGTTTTCAACTCCTAGTGGGTTCCATAACCTGAGATTCCGCTCACGTCATGGGGACTGGTTTTACGTGGTGGGGCCCGAACACCGGACCCCACTGGTCCAAGCTTAATAATCAATGGGTAATGCTTTTCTAACGGTCCTTATGCAGTCTCTGTAAAAATATGGAAAGGACCCCTGGAGGTTTACTTTCCTGAAAAAAGTGTGTTATGTGTCGGAACCCTGGTGGTGGGTTGCGGGATATCAAGGAGGGGCACACTGGGGCAATTTCAGTCCAGCAGGCTGGAGCCAATCATGGAGCAGCCCAACAGAGGCTGGAGCCAATCATGGAGCAGCACAACAGAGGAAATCAGGTGTCAGGCTAGAAAAGGTGCAAGTGTGTGGTTCATTAGGCTGCAGCCAATCACAGAGCAGCACATTGAAGCGCACGCTTACAAACCACTGGTAAGTGCTGACTACAAGTCATGACTTCCAATTGTTATATAGAATGATTACAAATTATTTGTTGTTTGTGCAGCTTAGTCAAGAGTCCCTAATTGATGAAGTCGACTCAGATTCTGACGATTTAACTGTCAAGAAGAAACCTGTAAAAAAGTATGGAAAAAGAAAAATCAAAAACACTTTTCTTCAAGACTCGGAAAGTGACGAACCAAAGGCAAATAAGATTGTTATCATGCAGCTGCAAAAGAAGAAAAATGGGGGGCGAGTTTACAGCAAGAGACACTTCTGCCTCTACTGTTCAATGTCCTGCCACAAAATGTCCCGTCATTTGACTAGAAAACATGGAAATGAAAGTGACGTAGCCAGAGCATTGGCTCTACCTGTGAAATCTAAAGCACGTAAACTTCAGTTTGATTTGATCAGGAATAGTGGAAACCATGAGCACAATTTTGAGGTTTTAAAGGCCGGCATTGGAACTTTAGTCCCAGCTAAACAGCCAAATTCCCCAGTTAAATCCAGTGAGTTTTTGCACTGTATAGACTGTGGGGCATTGCTTAAGCGAAAGTTGCTGTGGAGGCATGTGGCCAGGTGCCGGCTTTCACAGAAAGATGCCCAGGCTAAACCAGGTAGAAGTAGGGTCCAGTCCCTCTGCTCCCTAGCCCAGCCTGTACCGGAGGGCATCAGCAAAAAGCTGTGGTCTTTAATTTGGGCAATGCATCAGGATGAGGTCACGGGTGTTGTCAAAGCAGAAAAGGGGATTCTGAGACTCGGAGAGCACCTGTACTTAAAACACGGGCATGATAAGACTAAGCATGATTACATTAGGCAGAAAATGAGAGAAGTCGGTAGGTTAATTAACGAAGCAAAAACTGCAGGGAAACTGAAAACAATTAAGGATTTCTTTATTCCTTCCAACTTTAACCATGTGATTGATGCAGTCAGGTCTGTGGCTGGATATGATGAGGAAACAAATCAATACAAGACTCCATCCTTGGCCCTCAAACTCGGCCATAGCCTCAGAAAGCTAGCAGATATTCTTGAATGTGACTCAAAAATGGAGCATTGTGTTGATGAACTATTTATTAAAAACCTCCAACGAAGCCGCCTGCTTTTTGAGAAGAGGTGGGACGTCTGTGTTTCTTCTGCTGCCCTACAGACCCTCCGGCAAGCCAAGTGGAACACTCCGGACCTGCTCCCTCTGACTGAGGACGTTAGAGCCATGCATGCACATATTGAGGTATGTCGACCTGAATATGTGCAAACCCTAATAAGTGAGCCAACGTCTAAGCATTGGTCTAAACTGGCAGTTTTGACTCTTTGTGAGGTCATTATTTTCAATCGAAGAAGGGAAGGTGAGGTTTCAAAGATGCCACTGACAGCCTTTACCTTAAGAAGTAAGACTGGGATCCATTCTGACATGGCTCTGGGACTGTCCCAACTTGAGAAAAAGCTGTGTCAGCATTTTCAACGCATTGAAATTAAAGGGAAAAGAAGTCGGAAAGTGCCGGTTCTTTTGACTCCTGAAATGATTGCTTGGATGGAGGTGCTGGTGGAGAACAGAAGGGCCTGTTCCATCTCTGACCATAACCCATACTTCTTTTCCCGCCCGGGCGCAGACACCCACATCAGGGGATCAGACTCCCTACGCCAGGTAGCCAAAGAATGTGGTGCGGTGAATCCAGAGATGCTATCCTCAACCAAACTTAGAAAGCACATAGCTACTATGTCTACAGTTCTCAATATGAAAGAGAATGAGATGGACATACTAGCCAACTTCCTCGGCCATGACATTCGCATCCACAGGCAATATTACAGACTACCAGAGGGGGCGCTGGAGCTGGCCAAAATCAGCAAAGTGTTGATGGCCATGGAGCAGGGAAGAGTGACGGAATTCAAAGGAAAGAGCCTCGACCAGATACAAATTGAGCCTGAAGGTAATTCTTGATATTATTAAAATATGTATGATTTTTTTCCCCTAAAGGCCACTTGTATTTTTATTTTCTGTGCGACAGGGAGAGCAGTAGAGATCCTCTCACAAACGGACGGGCTAAAAGAAACTTCAAGCGGAGAACCTTCAACCATTCATCCAGATGCACCCCATGGTAGTGGCAGTGCCCCTTCTGGTAAGTGTACCAGGTGGGGGATTACAGCCAGGCTGCTTGGTCCTAACCCTGGGAGTGTATATTGCTAATATATTTTTATTTCTCTCCCTAGAACGTTAGAGAAAGCCATGGTCTGCATCTGAGGTGAAGGCTGTGGAGAAGACCATGACACCTTTCATACAGACTGGAAAGGTCCCTGGGAAGTCTCACTGCCTGGCCTGGCCTGGCCTGGCCTGCATTAATGCCTCACCAGATGACCTTAGACATCGGACATGGAGTGGCATTAAATTCTATGTCAAAAATAGAATCACTGCAATTCGAAAACAAAATCTAAAATAAAATTCCTTTAAAATAGTTGTTTGTTTTCTATTGACTGTTTTGTATTACTTAAAGTAGTCCCAGTAAAAAAAGATTATGTCTATGGGTCCCATTCTGAACGGCCCTGTCAAAGGGACCCACCAGGTAACAAAAACGTGTATGTGTGTGTGTGTGTGTGCGTGAGCCTGTGTGTGTGTGTGCGTGAGCCTGTGTGTGTGTGTGTGTGTGCGTGAGCCTGTGTGTGTGTGTTAATATCCTGTGATTATTCATGATTGTTGTTTGTTGTGTGTGTGAACTTTGCTTCATAAATAAAACATGAAGCTATAGTCACGATTCAACCAGAGACAAAAAGCTGAGGTACGTGACTTTAAAGCTGGGTGTGTCACTTTAAAGTTACAGACCCCAGCTTTAAAGGCACGTACCCCAGCTTTAAACACAATGGTTCTTGTGTCGCTGCAGCTGCTGACAAAGCCTGAGCTTTTAATCATTTTTGAACCAGAGACAGAAGCAGCTGTGGAACAACGTCCACGGTCACAGACGGACCATGTGACGTGGCAGCCCTGGAATTTCAGCCCACGACCAAAATGTGTCGACACCAAGGGCGATGGAGGGAAAGTTCGACGTGTTTGGATCTGCTTCAATTTATAGCTACAAGGAAGACAGGAACGTGTCACAATAAGAGTCATAACAGACCAGAGAGAGACCAGAGAAAGAGAGGAGAGAGACCAGAAAGAGAGACTAGACAGACACCAGCGATCAAGACCAGAAAGCAGAGAGAGACCAGAGAGACCATGAGAGAGACCAGAGACAGACCATGAGAGAGACCAGAAAGAGACAAGAGAGAGAATAGAAAGAGACTAATGAGAGGGACTAGAGAAAGACGAGAGGGAGAGACCAGCAATAGAGACTAGACAGAGACCAGAGAGCAACACGCCAAACTCTGACGGCGAGAGCTTCATTCGCCCAAACTCAGCTCCACGGCTCGTTACGTTGTCATTGTCTCGGGTGTGATAGTTTCTGTGCAGCAGGAGCCCTCTACAGTCCGCTTTCTGGTTCAAACTCAAATAAAAGCCAAAGTCTGAGATTCTGGTGTGAAACTTTATGGATTCTGGAATCGTTCAAACAAACGTAGAGTAGAAAACAGGAGACTGGAAAAGGGAATGGTGTCATCAAAAACACAATACAAAAGTCACATAAGTTACCAGCGCTATTTACACATATGTACAGACAGGGGGCGCTCTGAGGAACACAGCCAGGCCTTATGGACAGGAGTAGGGAGGAGGGGAGGAGAGGGGAGAGGAGGAGAGGGGGGAGGAGAGGGGGAAGGGAGGAGAGAAGAGAGGAGGGCAGAGAAGAGAAAGGAGAGAGGAAGGGAGAAGGGGTTGAGACGAGAGGGGATGGAATAAGAGGAGAGAGAGGAGAGAGGGGAGGAGAGGAAAGAGGAGGAGGAGAGGAAGGGAGGAGGAGAGGAGAGGAGGGGAGGAGAGGAAAGAGGAGGAGGAGAGGAAGGGAGGAGGAGAGGAGAGGAGGGGAGAGAAGAGAGAGGAGGAGACTAGGGAAGAGAGGAGGGAGAGAGAGAGGAGAGAGAAGAGGAGGAAAGAGAGGAGAGGGGAGAGGAGGAGAGGAAGGGAGGAGAGGAGGGCAGAGAAGAGAAAGGAGAGAGGAAGGGAGAAGGGGTTGAGACGAGAGGGGAGGGAATAAGAGGAGAGAGAGGAGAGAGGGGAGGAGATGTTCGAGACAATAATCACCAACATCACAGTTTTAATGAAGTAACTGAGTAGATTTACTGAAGTACTGGTACGTGTACTTTACTACTTTTACTTTTACTGCTTACTTTGGAACCCAGTGCAGCTGCAAAGTGCCAAACTGTTACTGTGTCCTTAGGCAAGACACTTCTCTAACTACTGTCTGTGTGTGTAGGTGTATGCATGTGTACTGTGTGCGTGCGGGAGTGTGTGTGTGCACGTGTATTGTGTGTGTACTATGTGTGTGTGTGTGTGCATGTGTAGTGTATGTGTGCGTCAGTGTGTGTGTACTATGCTTGTGTGCATACGTACTGTGTGTGTATGTGTGTGCGTCAGAGTCTGTGTTTTTGTGCATTTGTACTGTGAGTGTGTGTGTGCATGTGTAGTGTGTGTGTGTGCGTCAGTGTGTGTGTACTATGTTTGTGTGCATGCGTAGTGTGTGCGCGCGTCAGAGTATGTGTGTGTATGTGTGTGCGTCAGAGTCTGTGTTTTTGTGCATTTGTACTGTGAGTGTGTGTGTGCGTCAGTGTGTGTGTACTATGTCTGTGTGCATACGTACTGTGTGTCTGTGTGTGTGCATGTGTAGTGTGTGTATGTGCGTCAGTGTGTGTACTATGTCTGTGTGCATGCTACTGTGTGTGTGTGCGCGCGTCAGGGTGTGTGTGTGTATGTGTGTGCGTCAGAGTCTGTGTTTTTGTGCATTTGTACTGTGAGTGTGTGTGTGCGTCAGTGTGTGTGTACTATGTCTGTGTGCATACGTACTGTGTGTGTGTGCGTCAGTGTGTGTGTACTATGTCTGTGTGCATGCATACTGTGTGTGTGCGTGTGCATGTGTGTGTGCATGTGTAGTGTGTGTGTGTACTATGTCTGTGTGCATACTACTGTGTGTGTATGTTTGTGCGTCAGAGTCTGTGTTTTTGTGCATTTGTACTGTGAGTGTGTGTGTGTGTGTCAGTGTGTGTGTACTATGTCTGTGTGCATGCGTAGTGTGTGTGTGTGTGCGTCAGTGTGTGTGTACTATGTCTGTGTGCATGCGTAGTGTGTGTGTGTGTGCGTCAGAGTGTGTGTTTTTGTGCATTTGTACTGTGAGTGTGTGTATGGTTGTCAGAAGTGGCCTATGGCACAGATTAGTTTCCTTGCTTCCTTCAGTCAGTCCCAGGGCAGCCGTGGCTACATTTTTCTTCTCTCTGGTGAAACTGAGTTGTTTTATGGTGAAAACGACTGAACACTGAAAGGCTCCGGTCGCCGTCCTTCACTCTAACTTTACATATGGCTTCATTCAGCTGCAAACAAAGACACTTTAGAATTATAAATGTAAACATCATTTCAAAATAGATTCTGTAGATAAAACTTTTTCTGTCTCTTTCCGTTTAAATAAAAATTAGCCAAGTAGAAAAAAGAGCTGCCAGCGAGAGTCCAGAACCAGCGAAACAAGCGGCCATTTTGATTCACCTCCATTCAAACGCAAAAATAAGACGTAGTTCGAAAATGTAAACCCACAAACAGATACCAGTGATTGGTTTGGATCAAGGAAGAGTTTTCTGTCTCAAAGTGAATTTTTGGGCGCTCCCGTAGAGACAGGATGGGGAGCTCGGACTACAGCCTCTGCTCCTCTGGGCAGGGAAGGGGCCACTGGAGCCGGAGTGGTGTCTGGGCCTGGATGAGAGAGACCAAGGAGAGACAACAGAGAGAGAGCTGAGAGAGAGTCTAGAGAGAGAGACCAGAGACAGAGAGACCAGAGTCAGAGACCAGAGAAAGACCAAAGAGAGACCAGAGACAGAGACCAGAGACAGACCAGAGAGAGACCAGAGAGAGACCAGAGACAGAGACCAGAGAGAGACCGGAGAGAAAGACCAGAGAAAGACCAAAGAGAGACCAGAGACAGAGACCAGAGAGAGACCAGAGAGAGACCAGAGAGAGACCGGAGAGAAAGACCAGAGAAAGACCAATAAGAGACCAGAGACAGAGACCAGAGAGAGACCAGAGAGAGACCAGAGAGAGACCAGAGACAGAGACCAGAGACAGAGACCAGAGAGAGACCAGAGAGAGACCAGAGAGAAAGACCAGAGAAAGACCAAAGAGAGACCAGAGACAGAGACCAAAGAGAGACCAGAGAGAGACCAGAGAGAGACCAGAGAGAGACCAGAGACAGAGACCAGAGAGAGACCAGAGACAGAGACCAGAGAGTGCAGAGAGAGAAACCTGAGAGAGACCAGAGAGAGATAACAGAGATAGAGCTGAGAGAGAGTCTAGAGAGAGAGACCAGAGAGAGACAAGAGAAAGACCAGAGAGAGACCGGAGAGAAAGACCAGAGAAAGACCAAAGAGAGACCAGAGAGAGAGATCAGAGAAAGAACAGAGAGAGACCGGAAAGAGAGACCAGAGAGACTGCAATCGGCAAATAATCTGAATCTGAGAGAGACCAGAGATAATCACATTAGGTTGGGCACTCCCATACAGACAGGGTGAGGAGCTCGGACTAAAGCCGCTGCTCCTCCACGCGGAGTAGGGGCCACTGGAGTAGTGTCTGGGCCCGGATGAGCAGGACGCCGGGACGGGCTTTCAAACGCAATAATCCTTTTTGTCTGTGATTTGGTTAAACATGAACCATCTTGAGTCTCTCCTCACACGTAGTGGTCCTTCACGCCCGCGCTCAGTCTCTCCGCGTTCACATTCTTGAAGCGATTGTCTCTGGGGCCGTACTTTGTCCTGTGCGGCGACCGGACCGGCGCGGGGTCCGGGTCCTCCCTCACAGGGTCCAGTAGCTCGGCCTCAGCCTCAGCCCCGTCCCCCTGGCGCTGGTGCGGGTCCTGGTGCGGGTCCTGGGGCGGGTCCTGGGGTGGGTCCCGGGGCAGGCTGGGGTTGGAGCGGGGCTTGGGGGAGTGCAGGAGGTTGTTGACGGTGAGCTGGTTGTGTTGCGTCGCCGACTCAGACCTCTCACGCTCTTTCTTGCGTTTGCGCGTCCACCACACGCACACAACCGCGAAGCAGAACCAGAGCAGGCAGAAGGCGGCGATCAGGAACGGCATCAGGAAATCTGAAGCGGAAGAAGAAGACACCGCTTACTCTAGACTCTGAGCAGAAACACACAGAGTGACGCGTGTCTAAACAACTCGACTTTTAAACAGCCTTGCGATCCAGTCTTTGGTCTCTGGTTTCTCTCAAATCCCTCTAGTCTCTCTCTTTGGTCTCTCCCTCTGATCTCTTTCTGGTCTCTCTCTGGTCTCTCTCTCTGGTCTCTTTCTTTGGTCTCTCTTTCTGGTCTCTCTCTGGTCTCTTTCTCTGGTCTCTCTCCGGTCTCTCTATAGTCTTTCGCTCTCTAGTCGCTCTCCAGTCTCTTTCTAATTTCTTCCTATTGTCTCTCACTGGTCTCGCTTTCTGGTTTATCTCCAGTTTATCTCCAGTTTCTCTCTGGTTTCTCTCTCTGGTCAATCTCTAGTCCCTCTCTGGTTTCTCTCTCTGGTTTCTTTCTCAGTTCTCTCACTGGTCACTCACAGTCCAGTCTTGTTTTTCTCTTTCTATCTGGTCACTCTCTGGTTTCTCACTGTTCTCTCTCTCTGGTCTCTTTTTATTTAAATAATGTAAAAAATATTCAGTCTCACCTATGTTTACTCCCTGAACCACACGCTCCAGTTTCACTTCCACCAGAGACAGCAAGGTGGTGCTGTGCTGTGTCTGTGAGAGCGAGGACACGATGGAAGAGCAGGCGGCGTGGATCTGAACCAAATCTGTAGAGGAGCGGTCTGTGAAAGACTGAGGCAGAGGACAGAGAGATTAGATTCAACACAGGCATGAAAACACACAACTTATCAAGAAGAAGATTACATAGAGCAACATTAAGAAAGCATATTCTGCAGACGACACACCCTAGACCTGGTCAAAACAGAGGAAACACTGTAGACCTGATCACAACGGAAGACATACCCTAGACCTGGTCACAGCAGAGGACACACCCTAGACCTGGTCATAACAGAGGACACACCCTTGGCCTGGTCACAGAAGAAGCCCCACCCTAGACCTGGTCACAATAGAGGACACACCCTAGACATGGTCACAGCAGAGGGCACACCCTAGTCCTGGTCACAGCAGAGGACACACCCTAGACCTGGTGACAACAGAGGACACACTGTAGCACTGAGCAAAGGAAGGTTTCTCACTAGGGTTTAATATTTTTCCCGAAAATGAGACGTATCAAATCCCGGGAAAAGACGACGCCTTTCCCGGGAAATCCCGGGAAATAGCTGTTGTTTTTAGCCCAAGTAATGTATGATATCACTCAAATATATAATCCAACAAAAGCTGCCATCTCCACTAGTGTTTCACCAAGCGACTTGCCAGCTTTGCTAAAGTAGCCATAGCGTTTTCAGATGTTTTGTTGATGGGCTTTCTTCAGGAATTTCACTATTATGAGATTCTAAATGTCTGCGCAATCCACTTGTCGAAAAGTGACGTGCGGTGTGGTTTGGAGGCACTGACTTCAGCCCTGTCAGATGAACATATATCATATAAATCAACAGAACCTACAGAGCGGCTTATTCACAATTAGTTTGGCTACAGCAGAATGTTTTCCATGGCCCGCATTGTTTGCTCGAACAAAACGCAAAAGTTCGTAAAAGGCACATTTCCAATTGTGTTATGGGTCTTACCTTAGTTATTAATGAACAGCACAGACCACTTCAGTTCAGACCAGTTTCATGTTTAAGTCCAGATAATAGTTTGAGCGCAGATATGTAATCCCCCATTTGGAAATAAGCCCAAAGAGTTTTAAAGCGTAAAACAAAACGGGTGCCACCTCCATAAACTTCTCTGTGTTTTCGCTGCAGCCGACTCTCGGGCGCATCCAATTTCTAATATCAACCTTCTTACCCTTCTCCTCTCTTCCTTATCATTCCTATCGTCATTGTAAGCAGACCATTACCCTAAATGCATTTTATATGATTTTAAAATGTGTTATATGTATGTTAGCCAAACCTGTTGCTGCCCTTAGCAGATGGAAAAAAAGAAAGGAGCTTTCTGATAGAATTGGACGTAACCAAATTCTGGGCTCACATGCGCCCCGTACCCTGAGCCTGGCCTCATTACAAGTCGTGGTTTAGCGCGATTAAGACCCATATTTGTTGTCAAAAACACAATTTATGAGCCATCCTCTCAGCTGTAGACATGTTGATTGTAAATGAAATATGTTTGAACTTTGAACAACAATAAACGTGCTTTATAATAGGAGCGCACTGTATTTTTTTTTTACTTTCATTTCCCGTTTCCCGTCATAACATTTCCCGGGAATCGGGAAATAGTTTTCATCAGATTTCCCGGGAATCCTGTATCCCGGGATTAAACCCTATTTCTCACCCATCATCTGTACTTCTTAGCAAGTTTTCCCGACGTTTCGTCCTCAATCCAAAGGACTTCTTCAGGGAATGAATTCTCAAACTGCACGTTGGAGATTTATAACCTATGGGTGTGGTTAGCCACACCCTAATCCTGAAACAAACTCATAAACAATCTAAGGTCTGATGTAGAAGGGAGCAGGTCTAACGACCCTGCTGAGGCTAACGACCCTAACTCCTTAGCATGTCACAGACCTATTGTCTGCTGGGATGCTCAAGTGGAGTGCAGGTCTCACCCCTCCTAACTCATTAGCATGTCACTGACCTTGTCCCAAGTTAGGGCGTTGTTTTTAGGATGTCGTCATAGATGCGAGGCAAAAGAAATCTTATCCCATCTCCTCTGTTAAGAGAAGGTTTTTGTTTCCTCACAAAAATGGCTTCTTTCACCCCTCTCTCAAACCAATTCTTCTCCCGAGCCAGAATTTTAACCTCTGTGTCATCCACCGTGTGGTTGGAGGCCTTGAGGTGGAGATGAACAGCCGACTGTGGCCCACTAGAGTTTTCTCTACGATGTTGGTAAAGTCGTTTCTGTAGAGTTTGTTTGGTTTCTCCAATATAGTGGTCAGTGCACTCCTCTTCACTACATTTAATTGAATACACCACATTGCTCTGTTTGTGTCTGGGTGTTTTGTCTTCGGGATGCACTAATTTCTGTCTTAACGTGTTGAAAGGTTTGAAATACACAGGGATTTTGTGTTGCCTAAAGATTCTTTGTAGTTTCTCTGAAACTCCCGCCACATGACACAGGACACCCCTCTCCTCCTACTTTCTTCTGTCTGTTGCACTGGTCACACACAACAGAGGACACACTGTAGACCTGGTCACACACTCCAGGCCTTGGCCAAATTAGAGGACACACCCCAGACCGGGTCACAGCAGAAGAAACACCCTAGACCTAGTCACACACAAAAGGACACACACTCTAGACCTGGTCATACACAAAAGGGGAAACACTCTAGACCTGGTGACGCAGAGGACACACTCTAGACCTGGTCACACACTCCAGGCCTTGGCCAAAATAGACACCCACCCTAGACCTGGTCACAACAGAGGACACACCCTAGACCTGGTCACAGCAGAGGACACACCCTAGACCTGGTCACAGCAGAGGACACACCCTAGTCCTTGTCACCACAGAGGACACACTGTAGCACTGGTCACACACAACAAGGGACCCACTGTAGACCTGGTCACACACTCCAGGCCTTGGCCAAATTAGAGGACACGCTCTAGGCCTTGGTCAAATTAGAGGACACACCCTAGATCGGGTCACAGCAGAGGAAACACCGTAGACCTAGTCACAAACAAAGGGGAAACACTCTTGGCCTGGTCACACACAAAGCGGACAGACTCTAGGCCTGGTCACACACAATAGAGGGCACACTTTAGACCTGATGACACACTGCAGGCCTTGGCCAAATTAGACACACACTAGACCTGGTCACAATAAAGGACACACACTAAACCTGGTCACACACACTCTTGATTTGATAATTATTAAGTGAGGTTATCAAACTACCAGCTGACCAGCAGATCTTAAGAATATTTACTATGTAAATAAATATGTAAAAAGGATACAGATGATCCAAACATCCAAACACTCTATATCATTACCACCAGAAGAAAGGGTTTATTATAAACATGACACCAAATGCACATTAAAGGTTGTTAGTGTGGGCCTTCACGCGTAGGACACATGTGTGCGTTACCATGGCGACCTCGATGGCGTCAGCGTTGGCGATGGAGCGTTCGCACAGGATCAGCAGAGTTCTGTTCTGAGCCACAGCCTGAGTCACAGGGAGGAACTGGAGCTCGGAGCAAATCTGCTCCACCGTGGTGCCCTGAGAGAGAGAGAAAGAGAGAGACCAGAGAGAGAGAGACCAGAGTAAGAGACCAAGAGAGAGAGAGACCAGAGAGAGAGAGAGAGACCCAGAGAGAGAGAGACCAGAGAGAGAGAGACCAAAAGAGAGAGAGAGACCAGAGAGAGAGAGAGAGACCAAGAGAGCAAGAGAGAGAGAGAGAGAACAGAGAGAGAGAGAGAGCAAGAGAGAGAGAGAGCAAGAGAGGCCAGAGAGAGTGAGAGAAAGAGAGAGAGATACCAGAGAGAGAGGGAGAGAGAGACACACCAGAGAAAGATACAAGAGCGAGAGAGAGAGAGACCAGAGAAAGAGAGAGATAGCGAGAGAGAGAAATAGAGAGAGACACCAGAGAGTGAGTAAGAGAGAGAGAGAGATAGAGCAGAGAGAGGGAGAGAGAGAGAGAGAGAGAGTGAGAAATACCAGAGATATATGTAGAGAGAGAGAGCGAGAGAGAGCAGAAAGAGGCGGGTTTAATCTTCAAGTCAGATAACAATCTCCGCCATTGATCCAATCCAATCCACTTTAATTATTTAGCACATTTTAAAAGACAAGTTTCCAAAGTGCTGCACAGAGATAAAGTAACACATTTAAATACACAGGTTTACCAGCTTCATAAGTTTAAAAATTAATAGAAAAAGTACAACATTATGTACGCAGTAAAAACAATTAAAATGTAATAAAAACAATACATTACCCGTTATCCAAATTAACACAGAGACTCATCGATCTGGATTTTCAAAGTCTAGGATACATGTATGTGGTGTGACTCTAGGGTGTGTGGTGTGACTCTAGGGTGTGTGACTCTAGGGTGTGTGGTGTGACTCTAGGGTGTGTGACTCTAGGGTGTGTGGTATGACTCTAGGGTGTGTGACTCTAGGGTGTGTGGTGTGACTCTAGGGTGTGTGACTCTAGGGTGTGTGGTGTGACTCTAGGGTGTGTGACTCTAGGGTGTGTGGTGTGACTCTAGGGTGTGTGATTCTAGGGTGTGTGGTGTGACTCTAGGGTGTGTGACTCTAGGGTGTGTGACTCTAGGGCGTGTGACTCTAGGGTGTGTGGTGTGACTCTAGGGTGTGTGACTCTAGGGCGTGTGACTCTAGGGTGTGTGGTGTGACTCTAGGGTGTGTGACTCTAGGGTGTGTGGTGTGACTCAAGGGTGTGTGACACTAGGGTGTGTGGTGTGACTCTAGGGTGTGTGGTGTGACTCAAGGGTGTGTGACTCTAGGGTGTGTGGTGTGACTCTAGGGTGTGTGGTGTGACTCTAGGGTGTGTGGTGTGACTCTAGGGCAGGGGTCGGCAACCCGCGGCTCCGGAGCCACATGTGGCTCTTTAGTGCTCCTTGAGTGGCTCCTGGAGCCTTTTCAAAAATGTCTGAAAATGGAGTGGGAGGGGTATATTTTATTTCTAGTTTCAATGTGGTTTCTGTTGGAGGGACAACACTCTTAACCTTTTCCAATGTAGTAAAAATGTGCATAAGAAATATTCAATTTTAACATTTCTGTCAACTGAGATTTGCGTCATATCCTGCGACGTGCGGTTACGCAGCCCCGCGCCGGGCGGCCGCTGTGGTAAACAGACCGGCATGTGCCACATGAATCCTGTCACGGTGTGGATTTAGTTATTTTGTATTTTGGTTTTATTTTGACTTTGATGTCCTGTTTTCCCCTGTCTTGATTGTCTGCCCTGCCCTGATGTGTTTCACCTGTCACCTGTGTCTCTCTGTGTCTATATGTACCCTGTGCTTCTCTCCTTGTTGCTGGTCCATTGTCTTGTCAACACCTGTCTTGTCCTGTTCTTGGTTATGTGATCCTGTTCCCTTTGGATTTGTGAGTTTTATTTTCACTTTGGACTTTATTTCATTAAACCATTATTTTGGCATTCCTGCATTTTGAGTCCTCCATCATCTCACCTCATGACAAATCCCAAAGCTATAAAGAGAAAGAGTTGATAAGAACTGAGAATTCAGGGAAAAATGGACTGGAACATTTTCTCTCATTGTCAATGAGGAAAGACTGCTTCATGTTTGCTTTGTGAGAATATATCGAAGAACAAAATCATGTGGGAAATTGGAGCTGACCGAAGTTTGGAGAGAAACAGTGCGATCGCAGTTATTCTGGAGCAGATTCATCTCCAAACTTCTACTGCTGAATTTTGTTGCAATACGAGGAACAAAGAAGTGCGAACACCGTTCGGGACATTCAGCTCCAGCCAACTCCAGCCGTGACGACGTGTGACGTGATGGATATGAACAGACAGTGCTGTAATGCAGGTGTGTGAACTCTGAACCAAACACGGATTTATTTACTGTATTTCTACAATTGCATGAATGCAACAAAAGGAAAGTTAAACTTAAAGCATATATCGTATAACAGAGTAGTCACTCTCTTGCACTACAGTGAAAATACATATAATAATCATGAATGCATATTATGTGTTTGTAGCCTATACTTACTCATTTTGATAGTAGCTAATACAGCTTACAGCCTGTGCTGCTTTCATATAAGCCTTATACAAGATGTTTATGCGGCTCCAGACAGATTTGTTTTTTGTATTTCTGGTCAAATATGGCTCTTTGAACTTTTTGAGTTGCGGACCCCTGCTCTAGGGTATGTGGTGTGACTCTAGGGTTGGTGGTGTGTGACTCTAGGATGTGTAACCCTGGGGTTATAAAGGTAGAGTCACCTGGGGCAGTCGATCCCGGTTGAAGACCAGGGTAACTCTGGCACAGCCCTGGTCGGTGTGGGCAGGGCTGGGCTGGCAGGGCGTGACCGGAGGTGAGGGAGCCCGGCCTGGAGAGCACACCCCCACACTCCCACAGGGTTCAGAGAAGCAGGACAGGGACAGGGTGTGGGTGCAGTGACCCCCCAGTGGACAAGAGAGGGCGCTGTGGGACAGGACCGGAGAGGACAGCAGGAGGCAGGGCCGGGGGCCACACAGCACCTGCACACACACAGGAACACACACGTCACTCATTCAACTCAAATTAACGTATATATCTTTGCACAGCCCTAAATCCCAGCAGTAGTTATCAATTGACCAACACAGATCAGAGAATCTAACTGTTATTTCTTGTATTAGCTGTTTTCTACACAGAGAAGAAATGAAAGGAATTATGAAAGCTGTGGAGAGTATATCATGCATATGTTTATTCCTGCAGGAAAGATAATATATATTTCCAGACTTTTGAATCATTAAATGTGTTTTCTATCTCTCTACTCTCTATCCCCTCCTTCTCTCCTGCTCTCCCCTCTCTCTACCCCTCTCTCTCCCCCTCCCCCTCTGCCGCTCTCTCTGATCTCTCCCCATCTCCCCCCCTCAGAGTTCCAGTCTCTGACCTTAGAGCAGTGCACAGTTCCGTCTGTGCACTCGCAGCTGTTGCAGTCGTCTGTCCAGCGCTCGCCGTGAGGGACCTGTCGATCTGAGACGAGGCACGGGAGACCCAGACCCACAACTGAGGGAAAGGGGAGACGTCACACATTACACACACACACACACATTACACACACACACACACACACACACACACACACACACACACACACACACACACACACACACACACACACACACACACACACACACACACACACACACACACACACACACACACACACACACACACACACACACACACACACACACAGACCAAGAACCCATGACTGAGGGAGAGAAGAGAGGTCACACTACACACACACAGAAAGAGACAAAGAGACACACACACACATACAGAGACAGACACAATCACACTCACCTGTAAACAAACACACACACTCACACATACACATCATAACACACTAATACACACACACACACTCACAGCGGCTGCAGTGTGGCCCTGTGTGTCCTGGAGCGCACACACACTTGAAGCCGTTGATTTGGTCGATGCAGGTGGAACCCTCGGCACACGGAGAGGACTGGCACTCGTCTAAGTCTGAGGGAGAGAAGGAGCTTGAGTGTCACAAAAAGCGTTGAATGAAATTGGGAAAGGTCAATCTCATAGAAGATGATCCGCCTTGGTTCGCTCGGTGTGGCCAAGCCAACCTCAGCTAACCTTTCAATAAAAGCTCCAGTTCTGGGATAGACCTGGTAATAACAGAGGATATAACCTAGAACAGGCCACAACAGAGGACACACTCCAGATCTGGTCACAACAGAGGACACCCTCCAGATCAGGTCACAACAGAGGACACACTCTAGACCAGGTCACAACAGAGGACAAACTCTAGACCAGGTCATAACAGCGGACACACTCTAGACCAGGTCACAACAGACCTCGGCTTTGTGTCTTCTCTGGGTCCTGTGTCCCCTGTGGCTACGGGTGGCTCTGTGCTCCTGGTGCAGATGGCTCCTTGGATGACGCATTTTCAGCTGGTTGCATTTGAACTCTGCCAAGTCTCTCTTCGTGGTTTTACTGTTTTACTGATGTGTGTGTGTGTGTGAGTGTATGTGTATGCGTGCATGAGAGCTTGTGTGAGTGTGTATGTGGCCGTGTGCGCGAGTGTGTATGCGTTTGTGTGTGTTGTCTGCGTGTGCGTGAGTTCTTAATAATATACAGTACGTGGTTTGGAGGGGGTCTGTTGGGTGGTCGGGGGGAGGGGTCATGGGCGGGATTGTTTTTAGCCAAAATGTAAAGCACTTTGTGTTGCATCTTTTGTACGAAAAGCGCTTTATACATAAAATTTGATTGATTGATTGATTGATTGACACACTCTAGACCAGGTCACAAAAGAAGACACACTCTTGACCTGGTAAAAACTGAATACACACCCTAGACCTGGTCACAACAGAGGGCACACTCTAGACCAGGTCACAACAGAGGACACACTATAGACCAGGTCACAACAGAGGACACACTCTAGACCAGGTCATAACAGCGGACACACATAGACCCGGTCACAACAGACCTCGGCTTTGTGTCTCCTCTGGGTCCTGTGTCCCCTGTGGCTGCAGCCGGCTCTCTGCTCCTGGTGCAGACGGCTCCTTGGATGACGCATTTTCAGCTGGTTGCATCTGAACCCTGCTAAGTCTCTATTTGTGGTTTTACTGGTGTGCGTGTGTGCGTTTGTGTGTGTTTGTCTGTGTGTGTGTGAGTTCTCAATAATATACAGTATGGGGTGGGTCTGTTGGGTGGTCGGGGGGTGGGGTCAAGGGCGGGATTGTTTTTAACCAAAATGTAAAGCACTTTGTGTTGCATCTTTTGTATGAAAAGCACTTTATACATAACATTTGATTGATTGATTGATTAACACACTCTAGACCAGGTCACAACACACTCTTGACCTGGTAAAAACTGAATACACCCCCTAGACCTGGTCACAATAGAGGGCACACTCTAGGCCTGGTTACCACAGAGGACACACCCTAGACCTCGTCAGAACAGAGGACAGACCCTAGACCATGTCACAACAGAGGACACACTCTAGACCTAGTCACAAGAGAAGACACACTCGAGACCTGGTCACAACAGTGGACACACCCTAGACCTGGTAACCCACAACAGAGGACACACCCTAGATCTGCTTATTACTAACAGCGCTAATATCCCAAATGTAAATGTGGTCAACGAGTGAACTAAAAAATCGGAAATGACCACAGCAGGAGAATCTAGCACTTTATATGATGAAACGGTTCTTAGAGATGCACTAGTGACTCACTGATGCGACAGTCGGGTCCAGAAAAGCCAGGAGTGCACTCACACCGGAACCAGTTCACCCCATCCACGCAGTGACCGCCGTTAAAACTGTGAAGGAGAAAAACATAGAATATCATCTTTATGAACAATAACCAAAAAAAAGACTGAGCAAGACCCAACCCTGAACCAAAAAACAAAATATCTGGTCTAAAAACAAGACATAATCTGCTTTTACTCAGAGCTTGGGACACATATTGACTCAATGAGGTATTTCCTGCTTTTAACATTTTCAAGACTCAATGTAAACTACAGTCTTTTCTAAGAGCTTCATCAAAATCAGATTTACGAGATAAAACCTGTGTGAACTTTTCCCCAAATCAACGGAGAGCAGTTGCAGCCGTCGTGTTAAAACTCGAGATTTTGACAAACGCCAGCAGCAAAATTATCCATCAAAAACAGAGAGGCCTGTCACACTCCATCATTATTTATTTAAGAGACTTGAACTCAGCCCTAGATATTGATCCACAGCCTCGGTCCTGGATCTACAGCCTCAGTCCTGGATCTACAGCCTCAGTCCTGGATCTACAGCCTCAGTTCTGGATCTACAGCCTCAGTCCTGGGTCTACAGCCTCAGTCCTAGATCCACAGCCTCAGTCCTAGATCCACAACCTCAGTCCTGGGTCTACAGCCGAAGTCCTGGATCTACGGCCTCAGTCCTGGGTCTACAGCCTCAGTCCTAGATCCACAACCTCAGTCCTGGGTCTACAGCCTCAGTCCTGGGTCTACAGCCTCAGTCCTGGGTCTACAGCCTCAGTCCTGGGTCTACAGCCTCAGTCCTGGGTCTACAGCCTCAGTCCTGGATCTACAGCCTCAGTCTTAGATCCACAGCCTCAGTCCTGGGTCTACAGCCTAAGTACTAGATCCACAGCCTCAGTCCTGGGTCTACAGCCTCAGTCCTGGGTCTACAGCCTCAGTCCTGGGTTTACAGCCTCAGTCCTGGGTTTACAGCCTCAGTCCTGGGTTTACAGCCTCAGTCACACATCCTTTTTTTCCACTTTTTAGACCCACATAGAGACATAAAATGTAGTGATATAGTTAGCCACAGGGGCGCTGTAGAGCAAGGAAAAGCACTCACCAGGGGATTGGGCTGCAGTCGTCGACATCTGCAAAGAGACAACAATGACACGTCTGATGGAAGCCCTCAGCGCCTAACAGCAGGGCGGACTCTGACATAAAAAAGCGGTCACATATTTGTCCTCAGAATAAAGTCGTCAGTGGGACAGACTCAGATGTGGATCATGGGGCCGCTCACAAACCCTGACAATTACACACAACGCACCTGTGTCATTACAGAGGCTGTTATTTACAAAGATCCAAGATGGACGGCATGTATCTAGGTGTGTGCGTCTCTGTGTGTGTGTGTGTGTGTGTGTATGTGTGTGTGTGTGTTTGCCTGTGTGTGTTTGTGTGTGCATGTGTGTGTGTGTTGTGTTTGTGTGTGTCTCTGCGCGTGTGTGTAGATCTGTGGACGCGTGTGTGGTTGTATGTGTGTGTAGATGTGTGTGTGATCCACTTCCACCTAACGTGTGTTTTCCTTCAGGGACTGATTCATGCAGCTGGAGATGGCTACGCAGAGGGAATGTCTAACATTTATTTGTATAGAACAGTTGTGTGTAGATGTATAGTTGTGTAGCTGTTTATAGTTTTGTGTAGTGTGGCTACAGTAGTAGTTTATCACCACTGTGTTTGGAGTGAATGAATAATGATAATAATAATGCGTCCAGAAAAACACTGTTTAAAACTAATACATTATTTTTAGTTGGTATAGCTTTGTGTATTTGTGTGTAGTAGTATAGCTTTGTGTTTTTGTGTGTAGTTGTTTATCTGCGTGTAGTTGAATGTCCTCACCGGTGGCACACTGTGGCCCCTCCCATCCGTCCTTACACACACAGATGAAGCTCTCAGCTCCTCCCACACATGTGCCTCCATGCAGACAGGGGGCACTCTCGCAGTGGCTGCTCCTTGCTGACAACACAAGAACAAAGAGGTTTGAGTGGTGTCAGTGCATGGATCTATAATAATAACTGGATAGGGTATTACTAGCTTGTAGCTGAATAACTCATGTGCTCAGGGGATTCTCGCGGTACTGCAGACTGAACCAGACTAAATTCACGTGGGCTACCCAGACATTTTCCCCATAGGACTCAATGTAATCTAAAACAGCTCGACCTCAGCTGACAGAGAACCTGACAGAGAACCTACAGCTTTCATAATGGTCGGATTTTGTGGGGATTTTTGTGTCCCTTGTCATCTGGAACTTTTTTTCTTCTTAAATCCTTCTGTTTTGTTTAAATCCACACTTTAGTGCCACAAACTCTGCCCGTCTGGCTCTCGCTCTAACTCCCGCTCTGATGAACTGCTCTGATTGGTCGGAGCGCGGCCGAGCCCCTCTGTGCACGTGCGTGAGACCCATGTGAGACCCACACACGCGTGTTTGGCGCAACGCATTATGGGAGATCATCCACTGCACAGAACCGGGAGGACCAGACGATGCCCAAATACAGGCAAGTTTCCCATAGATCTTTGCGAGTTCCAGGCGACTTCCGCTAATCTTTCAGCCCCCATGCCGTCACAAAGTGCCACTGAGCACAACCATTCATTTGAATACGGCGCCATCTTGGATTGCCGGGCTTGTGTCAGTGTGGGAGTGGAGGCCACGCCTCCCCTGACCCGGGGAGAGGAGGCCACAGTCCCTCTGAAGGCCACGCCCCCTCTGACCCAGGAAGAGAAGGCCCCGCCTCTCAAAATGTATTACTTTTAAATAGAGTCAGAAAATAAATTATTACTGCTCTTGTTTTGGAAATGTTTTGAAGAGATTCAAGATGAAATACTATATTCAAAAAAGAAGGTCCCTCACCGGTGCCACAGGTGCCCCATCTTTAAACACCCTCATACAGGTGTCCCATCTTTAAACACCCTCATACAGGTGTCCCATCTTTAAACACCCTCATACAGGTGTCCCATCTTTAAACACCCTCATACAGGTGTCCCATCTTTAAACACCCTCATACAGGTGCCCCAGCCTTACACTCCCTCATATAGGTGCCCCAGCCTTACACTCCCTCATACAGGTGCCCCAGCCTTACACTCCCTCATACAGGTGCCCCAGCCTGACACTCCCTCATACAGGTGCCCCAGCCTTACACTCCCTCATACAGGTGCCCCAGCCTGACACTCCCTCATACAGGTGCCCCAGCCTTACACTCCCTCATACAGGTGCCCCAGCCTGACACTCCCTCATACAGGTGCCCCAGCCTTACACTCCCTCATACAGGTGCCCCAGCCTGACACTCCCTCACTCAGGACCCTCACCGGTGCCACAGGTGCTCCCAGAGAACCCTGGAGCACAGCTGCAGATGAACGAGTCGCCCTGGTCCACACAGGTTCCTCCGTTACTGCAGGTCCCAGGCTCACACTGGCTCTCCTCTGCACAGATGCATCATGGGAAATGTAGTTTACAAAGAAGAGGGTAGAACGTATAAACGTATGTTCAAAAGTGGAGAGTGTTGCTGCTAAGACTCATCTCTTGACTCCAACTTTTGAAAATGTAAATCCACTTTTCTAAAAATTGACCCTTTTGCACCACAGATTTTACTGCTCTTTTACCGCTCTAGCTCCACTCTGAGCAGAGGTTTCTTTCTCTGGTCTCTCTCTCTCTCTCTCTTGCCTCTCTCTCTCTGGTCTCTCTCTGGTCTCTCTCTCTCTGGTTTCTCTCTCTCTGGCCTCTCTCTCTCTCTCTGGTCTCTCTCTCTCTGGTCTCTCTCTCTCTCTCTCTGGTTTCTCTCTCTCTGGCCTCTCTCTCTCTCTGGTCTCTCTCTCTCTCTCTCTGGTTTCTCTCTCTCTGGCCTCTCTCTCTCTCTGGTCTCTCTCTCTCTGGTCTCTCTCTCTCTGGTCTTTCTCTCTCTGGTCCCTCTTTAGTCTCTCTCTCGTGACTGAGCTGTAGTTCTTCCTGTTTTCTCGTCCACCTCTGAGTGAAAGGCTTGGTGTGGTTCGCCTCAGTCTGGCCTCAGTCTGGCCTCACTCTGGCCTCAGTCTGCCCTCAGTCTGCCCTCAGTCTGGCCTCAGTCTGGCCTCAGTCCTGGCTCAGTCTGGTGCTAACATGAGGATTATTCAGAGTGTGTCATCTCCCGGAGTTTACAGAGAGCTTCCATCTGTGGCTTCTGCACAGACCTGCTCTAAATGTTTAACGGTGACGGATCCTGTGGGAGACCACGCCCACGACACATTCCAATGATCTCAGCTTTTAATGGAACAGAAAAGGACCATCAAGGACCACGACTGAGGTGAGGGCCGCCTCCAGGACCATAAACAACCTCTTTGGAATTATATAATGAGAGATACCAGAGAGAGACCAGAGAGTGAGAACAGAGTGAGACCAGAGAGAGAGACCAGAGAGAGAGACCAGAGTGAGACCCAGAGAGAGACCAGAGAGAGACCAGAGAGAGAGACCAGAGTGAGACCCAGAGAGAGACCAGAGAGAGACCAGAGTGAGACCCAGAGAGAGACCAGAGAGAGAGACCAGAGAGAGAGACCAGAGAGAGACCAGAGAGAGACCAGAGAGAGACCCGAGAGAGACCCAGAGAGAGACTAGAGAGAGAGACCAGAGAGAGAGACCAAAGTGAGACCCAGAGAGAGACCAGAGAGAGACCTGAGAGAGACCAGAGAGAGACCAGAGAGAGACCAGAGAGAGACCAGAGAGAGAGACCAGAGAGAGACCAGAGAGAGACCAGAGAGAGACCAGTTTGTTGGTTTCCTCACGTGAGCTGCAGGTCTTTCCCTTCCATCCTTCTTCACAGTCGCAGCTGAAGTCGTTGATGAGATCGACACAGCGCCCTGAGTGCAGACAGGGGGCGCTGCTGCACTCATCCACATCTGCATTAGCACACACACACACACACACACACAGAGACACAGGTTAATTATGACACAAAACACAGACACACACACAGAAACAGATAAACACACACACAGACCTGTGTCACAGAGAAGCCCCTCCCACCCGGCGTCGCACACACACTGGAAGGAGTCCACGCCGTCGATGCACGTGCCGCCGTTCAGACACGGGAGGGACGCACAATCGTTTATGTCTGAAATACACACACACTGACAAGTCACTACTGTATTTAACACACACAGAGACTGAGAGAGACACACACAAACATACACACACAGAGACAGAGAAACACACACTACACATAGACACACACACATACAGACATTGAGACACACACACACACACAGAGAGACACACAAACATACAGAGAGATACAGAGAAACACGCTCACACAGAGACACTCACACAAACACACACACACACTCTTCATATTGTGACACCCAGGGCTTTCTTGGGTGTGTGTCTGTTTGCCAGTGTGTGTGTGTGTGTGTGTTTGAGTGTGTGTGTGTTTGAGTGTGTGTGTGTGTCTCACTCTCATGGCAGTATGTCCCACTGAAGCCCAGGTCGCAGGAGCAGCTGAAGTTCCCCTGAGGCAGACTGAGGCAGCGTCCATGGAGTCCACAGGCCGAGGACGACAGGTGCCAGACCTGACCAGGACCAGGACCAGGACCTGGGTCGAGACCAGGATCTGGACCAGGGTCGAGACCAAGACCAGGGCTGAGATCAGGACCGAGACCAGGACCAAGACCTGTGCGTTTAGAGGAGACAGCCACGGTACAGCTGTCCACCACTGAGGAGAGAGGAGGGAAGTGACAGTAACCTCCATGTTAGATATAAATCATTTGCGCAGAAAGTCATTCCCCACTTCTACCACTAGGTGACACTGTTTCTCATCTCTCTTTCGTTTACATCATGAGAATATAATCCATGCATAGGCACTAAAACAGACTTACAGACTCACACACAGATGTGGATACTGAAGACTGTCCTGGCCCTGGTCCTGGTCTGGTCCTGGCCTTGGTCTGGCCCAGGTCTGGTCCTGGTTCTGGTTCTGGTCTGGTCTGATCCTGGTCTGGTCCATATCTCTGTTTGATCATGGTCTCCAAATGAGTCTCTCCTGCTGTTATCGTCTGCTTTTACACACATGATTAAACTATTGCTAAAACGTGACTTATTCAAAGTCTTTGACAAAGGTAGAGATTTTAAAGTTCTAAAGTTGGAGATGCTATTTTAGTAAGAGTTATTGTTCACTAATCTTGTGTTCTCATTCCTATCAATGCAACACTGAAATGTCCCCAATATAATATGTTATTATCATAATCTGAGGACATATCCATATAAAACATGAGTGGGACGAGTGTGGACCCCTGTGGCACCCCACACTGTTCAGCAAAGGGGACCAAGAAGTGACGTTTGCCAGTGGTCTGGTCCTGGTCTGGGTCTGGTCCAGATCTGGTCCTGGTCTGGTCCTGGCCTGGTCCTGGTCTGGTCCTGGTCTGGTCCTGGTCTGGTCTTGGTCTGGTCCTGGCCTGGTCCTGTTTCTGGTCCTGGTCTGGTCCTGTTTCTGGCCCTGGTCCTGGTCCTGGCCCTGGCCCTGGTCTGGCCCTGGTCCGGTCCTGGTCCTGGCCTGGTCCTGGCCCTGGTCTAGTCTGGTCTTGGTACCTGTGCAGTGGTGGGTCTGGCAGTGGTCCTTGCGCTGGGAGCAGGTCTGGCCCTCGTGCTGGTCTCCACAGCTGCAGAAGAAGTGTCCTCCGTCACTAGAGCACTGGCCTTGGTTCTGGCACGGGTTTGGACGGCATGGATCGGACTGGATCTGAGAGGGAAGGACCAGGATAAGTCCACATATTTCAATAAAGAAAACCCTGGACCAGAAAGAAACCTGAGAGAAAAACCAGAAAGAGACTAGAGTGAGAGAGACCAGAGAGGGACCAGAGAGACCAGAGAGAGACCAGAGAGAGACCAAAGAGAGAGACAAGAGAGAGAGACCAGAGAGAGGCCAAAGAGACCAGAGAGAGAGACCAGAAAGAGAGACCAGAAAGAGACCAGAGAGAGGCCAGAAAGAGAGACCATAGGAGGAGAACAGAGAGATAGTCGAGAGAGTCTTCTGAAGTCATCAACACGGTGCACACAAGCCACAGAAGTTTTCTTATGACTTTAAATGAAGGTGTTTATCAAAAACATAACTAAGCATATGCCCCATTTTCAAACCCATTCCTGATCACCAGATGCTTTTACCGGCTGCCGACTCAGAGAAAGTCTTTTGTGGACGAGTGTTTTGGTAAATCCCCGCTTCTCACCTCGCAGCGCGTCCCAGACAATCCTGGTTTGCACTCGCAGCTGAAGCCCTCGCTCTGAGACGTGCACTTCCCTCTGAGGCCACAGGGGGCGCCCTCACAGTGGTCTCTCTGCTGCTCACAGTGTCTGCCCACGAAGCCGGGTCTGCACAGGCACTGGTACCCACGGGCCCCCTCCTGAGGGACCAGAGACACACACACACTGAGGGAAGGAAGACAACACACACACAACAGCAACCTTTTTGCCGTGTCTTTTAGACCTGTGTCGACTTTTCACCACGGAAACACAGAGACGTGTCAAAATGAAAGGGTCAAAATAAACTTCCCATTTTCAAGGACCAGAGAGAGACCAGAGAGAGACAAGAGAGAGACCAGAGAGAGACCAAAGAGAGACCAGAGAGAGACAAGAGAGACAAGAGAGAGACCAGAGAGAGACCAAAGAGAGACCAGAGAGAGACCTGTGAGAAACCAGTGAGAAACCAGTGAGAGACCAGAGAGAGACAAGAGAGAGACCAGAGAGAGAGACCAGAGAGAGAGATCAGAGAGAGACCAGAGAGAGGGATCAGAGAGAGACCAGAGAGAGACCAGAGAGAGAGACAAGAGATGTGTGTCTCTCTCTGATAAAAGGGCGAACACCAACTTCCCATTTTCTTCTGGGACCAGAAAGACACCAGAGATAGAACAGCGAGCTAGACCAGAGAGACACCAGAAAGAAACCAGAGAGACACCAGAGAGATAGACCAGAAAGAGACCAGAGTGAGACGTGTTTTGTCTAATTTAAAGCTGTATTTAGTGTTCATATATTTTATGTCTTAAAGTCTTTTTAGACTAGGTGGCCAGGCGGGTCGTTCTGACACACCCCCCTGTGTCCTGTGTGAGGAAGAGGACTTTAGCTCAGTGGAAATGATGCTCCAATGTCCTCTACCATTCACACTGCGGCAGATGCAGGTCGTTTAGTTTGTTTTGTCTTTGCTGAATATTCCTCTTTAAAACCATGTGAGTGAAACCAGATGATCTCACAGTCGACAGAACGAGACTTGTCCAAAACCGCTGCCTCGAACATTGCAATTATCCTAATCTCAGCCATCATTTCATCTGCTTTCCACTCTACATGTGTCTGTGATCCACGGAAATCGCACCAGATTAAAAGACACGAGACAAATCACTCAATCCAATGGAAAATATACCACCACACTAATGCCCCATACATACACAACTGTTCTAATGCCCCGTACATACACAACTGTTTTAATGCCCCAAACATACACAACTGTTTTAATGCCCCATACATACACAACTGTTTTAATGCCCCGTACATACACAACTGTTTTAATGCCCCAAACATACACAACTGTTTTAATGCCCCATACATACACAACTGTTTTAATGCCCCATACATACACAACTGTTTTAATGCCCCATACATACACAACTGTTTTAATGCCCCGTACATACACAACTGTTTTTGATGCACTGTTGTGACTGCACTTTAAATGATCCAAACTTTTTTTTCTTTCCTAAATGTCTTTTTTATTCCCGTCACATCCATGGACTGCAGGATAAACTGTCCTTGTTTTTCACAGTTCATTTGTCTTAAATTCTGGACCTGAGGACTGGTCCGGAGCCGTTGGGAGTTGGCGGTTCTGTCACGCCCCTCAAGATGACTATTGTAAAATTATAAATACAATTTGATATGAAAAAGAGCATTAGACCAAAGTGTGATGGTGCCCCTCCCCCGTCTCTCTGTGCCCCTCCCCCGTTTCTCTGTACCCCTCCCCCGTCCCTCTGTACCCCTCCCCCGTCCCTCTGTGCCCCTCCCCCGTCCCTCTGTGCCCCTCCCCCATCCCTCTGTGCCCCTCCCCCGTCTCACCGAACACGTGGCTCCGTTTTGACACTGGCCGTAGCAGCGGTTCACATCTGCAGAAACAGAAACATGCGACATCACAATCTGTTCACAGAGTCAAGAAGCAGGAACAGACAGATCAGAGGTCAGAGGTCAGAGCTGCTCCACTGAGTCTCAAACAGACATCTCTGTCACATGACCTTGTGTCACATGACCTTGTGTTACATGACCTTGTATCACATGACCTTATGTCACATGACCTTCTGTCAGTCCTGATGATTGGTTCAGACCCTCAGTCATGACTTCTGTCCGGATGCAGACCAGAGGCCGATGGTGCAGCCTGAGGGTCGAGGACTCATTATTGCAATAATCTGAAAGTTTGAGCAGTGGAGCAGCAGGCTCTGGAGTAGACCTTAGAGCTGGTCTAGAGCAGACCTTATAGCTGGTCTAGAGTAGACCTTAGAGCTGGTCTAGAGCAGACCTTATAGCTGGTCTAGAGTAGACCTTAGAGTTGGTCTAGAGTAGACCTTGGAGCTGGTCTAGAGCGGACCTTAGGGCTGATCTAGAGTAGACCTTAGAGCTGGTCTAGAGTAGACCTTAGAGTTGGTCTAGAGTAGACCTTAGAGCTGGTCTAGAGTAGATCTCGGAGCTAGTCTAGAGTAGAACTCAGAGTTGGTCTAGAGTGGACCTTAGAGCTGATCTAGAGTAGACCTTAGAGCTGGTCTGACTCTAGCGCAGACCTTAGAGAAGGTCTAGAGTAGACCTTGGATCTGGTCTGAAGTAGACCTTAGAGCTGGTCTAGAGCAGACCTTAGAGCTGGTCTAGAGTAGACTTTAGAGCTGGTCTAGAGTAGACCTTAGAGCTGGTCTAGAGCAGACCTTAGAGCAGGTCTAGAGCAGACCTTAGAGCTGGTCTAGAGCAGACCTTAGAGCAGGTCTAGAGCAGACCTTAGAGCTGGTCTGATACTGACTGATGTCACACTTTAGCCCCGCCCATCCTCGAAAGCAGACGCAGTGAAATCCACCAATCAGATTTTTACATGAGTAAGCGTTTACACAGGGTCTGGAGGCGCACTCATTCACATCTGCAACACACATGAACACATGAAAACACACATGAACACATGGTCACGCACATGAACACATGAACACATGAACACACACATGAACACATTGTCACGCACATGAAGACATGAACACACATATGAACACACACAAGAACACATGAATACACACATGAACACATGAACACACACATGAACACACACAAGAACACATGAATACACACATGAACACATGAACACATGGTCACGCACATGAACACATGAACACATGAAAACACACATGAACACATGGTCACGCACATGAACACATGAAAACACACATGAACACATGGTCACGCACATGAACACATGAACATGCACATGAACACATGAACACACACATGAACACATGGTCACGCACATGAACACGTGGTCACGCACATGAACATATGATCACACACATGAACACACACATAAAAACACACATGAACACACACATGAACACACACATAAAAACACACATGAACACACACATGAACTCATGATCACACACATGAAAACGGACACACACATTAACAGATGAAAACACACACAAACACGCACATGAACACACCCATATACACACGAACACACACATGAACACACACATTAACACATGAACACACACATGAACACATGAAAACACACATGAACACACACATTAACACATGAACACACACATGAACACACACATGAATAGAGCTGCAACTAACGATTATTTTGTAATCGATTAATCTATCGATTATTTTTACGATTAATCGAGTAATCGCTTGGCTGTGAATTGTGTAGAAACAAAATATTTTTTCATCACAAAAAGCTAAAGTGGCAACACTCGAGGACGTATTGATGGCGTAAACTTAAAGTAAATGTTTGTAACAGGCTCTTTGTGCTAATTCTGCTCTGACCCACTAAGCAAGCCGACGTTGAATCAACGTAATTTGAACGTCGTTGTCCGACGTAGAATATAGGTCACTGGTGGGTGCAGAATGAAAGTTTTCTCGACGTCGTTTCCCGACGTCACCTCAACCTCCAAATGTTACGTTGATGGCACGTTAATTCAAGGTTTGAATGTGGTACGGAACCGGTCGGGTCTGACGTCCTATCAACGTCTCATATGACCAAAATATTGACGTTTATATGACGTTCGTTTTCAGTCGTTCCCACTAAGCAAGCAGATGTCAAAACTATGTCATTTCAACGTCATCTGGACGTTCATTCAAGGTTGCAATGTGGTACAGAACCGGTCGGGTCCGACGTCCTATCAACGTCTTATATGACCAAAATATTGCCTTCATATGACGTTCGTTTTCCGTTGTTCCAACTAAGCAAGCAGATGTCAAAACTATGTCATTTCAACGTCATCTGGACGTTATCTGGACGTTCAAATGACGTCGCGGCCACTTCATTCAAGGTTGCAATGTGGTACAGAACCGGTCGGGTCCGACGTCCTCTCGACGTCTTATATGACCAAAATATTGACGTTTATATGACGTCCATTTACAGTCCTATTGACCTACTTAACCTCTGCAGAATCACTCACTGGTCGAGACATACTTTTTGCAATAGGCAAGGCAAGTTTATTTGTATAGCACAGTCAAAACAAAAGGAAACTCAAAGCACTGAACAAAAGATAGAAACAATCAAACAAGGCATTACAATTATAAATATTGACAGTAAATTAAAAAGATACAAATAAAATCTCTCATAAAATCTCTCAGTTGAAGCAGAAACAGAAGTGTTTTAAACCTGGATTTTAACATTGTCAAAGAAGAAGCCTGTCTCACATTTCCAGGAAGACCGTTCCAGATTTTAGCCTTGTGAACCTGAAATGCAGCTTTATCATGTTTAGTTCTGACTCTGGGCAATAAACGATAAACACAGCATTCAAAAATCATTAGAACAACTGTAGTAGAAGGATATCAGTCATTATTGCAAATGGAGCTGCATTAAAAATCATGTTTCTCTACATCAAAGTACAAGTTAAAGCACACAGGGCACAGTGTTATGAACACTACTGTACTGAACAGTTCATGCCAAAGTAAAAAAACATGATTGTAGCGCCTATGTTTGGATCAGTATTAAAACAGGCACAAGCTACACTCTAGGTTCCCCAGATGTAAAAACACAATCTGAAAGGCAGAAGAATGCATTTATTGAATGTTGATGTTCCAACATGTGTCCTCTCTTGGTCTTCAGTCTCTCATCACAAGGTCCAAGCACAGCACCTGAAAATGTGGAACATGTTTAGTTTCAACGTAATGTGGCAAAGTGATATAACACATAACTTTCTATTAATGCCTCAAACCACTCGATCCATCACCATGTGATACAAACCTTGGCACTGCACTAGCTCGAGACACTGGAAGACACTCAGTCTGAGAAACTTGGGATAAGGCTTTGGTCATTGGAGTAATTCCATGTAAAAAACAATTGCAAATATGCATTTGTTTTGCACATGGACACAAATGAGCCCTGAAAGCTACTTACCCTGTATTACTCTACACATGTTGCATTTCCGAGGGGGCATTTTCCCCTTGTTGCTCTTTTCCCTCATCTTGAGTGAGTTGCTGAACAATCTGAGAAAAAAATAGATGTTTTCAAAGAGAATACACCAAATAATGGTTTATTCTAAAAACAACATATTAATACAGAACAACAATCAATGTGTTAGAGTGTGATTCTTACCTTTGAACACCTTTAACACAGTCTGACACCTGTAAGACTCAAACACACATGACACATTAGGAATACACACAGAACATTAATTATTGCAACAATCATGAAATTATACTCTATGGATTTCACAATAATTGACTGCATTAGCAAAGGTAAATGTATTTTAATTAACATATGGCTGGTTTTAAAGTTTATAAGAAAAAGTAAGAAATTGAATAGAGTTGCAAGCGCTAGTTAGCTTGCTACCAGCAGATGAATGGATATTTAATATTTGCAGCTAACAATAACAAAAATAACAACTGTAGTGGCTCATTTAAACAGCCACAGTGAGAAGAAGTGAAAGTCTCTGACATTGAAGACCTGGGAAGACGTTAAGTCCATTTATTAAACAAAGCAATACATGAACATTAAACTCTTTCTGCAGCAGGTAACATCTGTGTGCTCCTATGGTCCCACATGGTCCCACACCTTCTTCTTCTTCTTCTTGGTGTTTTACGGCGGTTGGCAACCAGCTTTTAGGAGCATTACCGCCTCCTACTGTTCCGGAGTATGGGTCATACAGTGAACTTACAATCTACAACAACCCAAAGTAAATAAAAAAAAAAAATAAAAAAAATATAATAATAATAATAATAATAATAATAATAATAAAACACCACACACACTACTACCTACACTCTATCAAAAACCCCTATCTCCTTTAAAAAACCCACAAGTTCCCTTATCTGTGCCCTACTACCCTCCAACACACTCTTCAAACTGAACTCCCCAACACCCAGCTCCTTCATCCTACTCTTCAGAGCTTCTCTCTCTGCATCATAGCCCTTACACTGTAAGAGCACATGCTCTACCGACTCCTCCGACTCCTGACACGCTCCACAAAGCCCTGTGCCATGTTCCCCTATCACCCGTAATGTTTTGTTCAGTGCGCAATGTCCCAGTCTAAGCCTTGTGACGACCACCTCTTCCCTCCTATTACCCCTATGCACCCCAACCCCTGTCACCTCCTTCTTAAGATTATACAAATGCCTACCCTTAACCCCAGAATCCCACCGCTGCTGCCACTCCTGAACTACCTGCCTCCAGACTATACTCTTTGCTTCGGATTTACTGCTTTTAATTCCCATCTCAACCCTGCTGCTATTCAAAGCTCCTTTCGCCAATCTATCCGCTCTTTCATTTCCACTGACTCCTACATGTGCCGGCACCCAAAGAAAGTGAACCATGCTGCCCCTACACCTTATTCTGCTTAATGTAACCAAAATATCATATAGCATACCCTGCCTCGTCTTAGAACAAAATGATTGTACACTTGAC